GTCATGGGTCAACAACTACAAGCAGATTATGTATATTGCTTCATAGCACATCAAACATAATGGAGTCAGTTCACACACACTTCCAGTTGCTACTTATCAGAAGTTGTGCATTCAGGGAATGACAAATTAAAGAAGGTGCCTGCATTTGTACAAAGTGTAAGAAGAAGACAGAGAGGACTTAATTGTCTGAAAAATCTAGGAGATTGATTTGAATGCTATGCAACACTCTTTAGAGCTGTTGCATCCAAAGTCAAGACAGCTAGGATTACATCCAGAGGAACAACATCAAGAAGCAGCAGTAGTTCTACTGACTACAGACTGTGATATTAATGAACTTCCTATAGGAATTACTACAGTGTTTTCATCACCATTGTCCCTACAGTGCTGTATCCTGGCCTGGAGCAGGTGGCAGGAGCGAAGCAGAACATTGTTTCAAAAGAGAATATATATGGAAGATGACACCAATGTGGACAATGAGGAGATAAATAGTAAGGTTCCCTCGTAGCTGATATTCATTTGTGAATTATAGGTACAGTACACTTCTGGGTAAGAAACCTTGGTTCCTTGGGGGAAAATCTTCAGTTAAGATAAACCATAATCTGCATGAAGAAAGCTGTTATTATGAATGGATCACCTTAATTGAATTACCAAATCTTTCTCATGTTAGTGGAGAGGATATTAGTATGATGCACTGAACCTTGTCTGATTTTGGAGGCCAGCTATGGCTAAGCCTGGTTAACATGTGTGGAAGACCATCCACAAAGAGATACCACTGATACTCAGGTAAGGGTGGGAAAGAAATCTTGGATTTTCTTTCAAAGAAACTCTGGAGGATCACTGTCAGTCGGAATTTACAATACTGAGCTAGATGGACCGGGTATCTAACTTTTTATGTTACTCTGACAACCCCAACAATAGGACTGCCATCTGGTGATTGTAGGCTACAGTCTTGTACCTTATTCTTGGGGGAAGCTCTATTGATTGGAATTAATGGAATTCAGTGGGATGTATTTTTCTAAACCATTGGCTGGATAGCTCAATGAGTTAGGTATCTGGCTGCAGAGCCAGAAGTTGGGAATTGATTTCCCACTGTTCCTCCTGCAAGTTCCTGCAAGTGCAGCCAGCCTGTGTGACTTTCAGCAAGCTGCACAGACCCAGTGCACCCCTAGAAGAGGAGAATGGTAAGCTACTTCTGAGTACTCTGTACCTAGAAAAGCATGAAAAGGGCTCCCATAAGTCAGAACTGACCTTACAAAGCAGGATTATTTATATTTTTTCTGAATAAAACTTTTACAAGATTCTACTTTTGATTGATTGTTTGACTTGATAATGTATTGATTAAATTTGTTTATGAAGTTGCATAGTGGAAAAAGCAAATACTCTTTTTTCTTTTAGCACATCTGAAACAAGAATCATACTTTGTTTTCAGGCAATGCACATATTGTAGCAACGCTGGTTCCCAAACCTGAGCCCTCACATCTTATTAGACTTTAACTCCCAAGAGCTCTTGATGAAAAATTGAGCCTTGTGACACAGTGGTTAAACTGCTGTACTATGTAGCCAAAACTATGCTCATAATCTGGGGTTCAGTCCCAGGTAGCCAGCTATCCTTCCCATGTCAGAGTGGTAGAATATACCAGATGGGCAGGATATAAATCAAACAAATAAAATAAATAAATAATAAAATGAGTACCCAGCTCATGGTGGTGGTGGTGGGGAATGTGTAGCCTGCACAATTAACTTGTAAGCTGCCCAGAGAGTAGTACAATTTGCTTTGCTTTTTGCTTCTTTATACATATTTCTATTAAAATAATAATTGTGTGCTGTCAAGTAAATTCGCACTCTTCAGAGTTTTCTAGGTAGAAAGTACTTAGAAGTGATTTACCATTCCTTTCTCCTTGGGGTGCTCTGGGACTGTGCAGCTTGTCCAGTGCCATACGGGCTGGTTCTTCTCAGGTGCACAATATGAAACTAAATTCCCAACCTCTGGCTCCATGGCCAAATGAGCTATGCAGCCAGCTTCATATGAATAATATATATTTTGTCAAACGTTGCCTATCAATCAGAGACACCTGGCCCATTAAAATTTTTGATTAAAATATCATAATCCAGCAGATGCAAGAATGAAAAACCCATGCCCTTTCTTAATAAGCCTGCATCTCTTGTTTTCCCATATGATTGCTATGAATGCTGTTGCTGATTCATATGACATAGGAACATTGAGTTCTTTATGTCACTTGGTGTGTTAGTAAGTGTAAAACACATAGGGTGTGCACATTAGTGTGTAAAACAATGACTGAATAAAAATAATACTAAAATCTCATATTACAATATACAATGCAGTGTTCTGAAAGGGACAGAAGCTATCCCATTTCTGTTCTCAGCTTTTAGGAGTTTGCCTGGACAAGACATTTACAAGACAGGACCACTTCCTGAGAATGGTTGCCTACGTGTGACTGCCTCTAGCTCATTGTGAGCTGGTTGTGTAATGGCACCACCATGCATAGTAAAAGCCAAATAGATCACACGGCACACAGGGCAAAGTATTATAATTACTTTATTCATTCCTGGTCACACATTAATATCCTGCCGAGCACACAATGGGCTAAAGGTACCAATTCTCCTCCTCCTTCATGGTCACATCATCAATCCTATGAGGTACATCATATTGCCTGACTAGCCCAGACTCGACCAGAGAGTGTCATGCCTCAGTGAAGTCTTGAACCGGATCCCCCCAAGCTCCAGTCCAAACCTCTGAATCACCGCACCACGCTTGTTGGGTTGGGCAACTCGACCGTGGCTTGAGGCTGGAGTGTGCAGGGTGCCTGGGTTGCTTCCATGCATCCAGAGGGTCTAGTCACAATTGAAGGGGTGGCCATCCTCAAAATCAGAAAGAGTGTCCAGGAGAAGGAAAAGAAAAGAAACTATGGGTGGCTTGGGGGGGAGTGGCTGGAACAGCCCCCCCACTTCCTTCTCTCTGTACCTTTTCCGTTCAGACCCCAGTATATGAATAGTCCAGTCAAGAGGGTCCTTCTCTTGTGTTTGAGATTCCTTTTTTTTCCTTCAAGAAAGCCTCTTGCTTGGTCCTGGAGAGCTCCTGCAGCACCCACCCTCCCACCATCCTCCCTCCCTCGCCTCAGGCTTCTTGTTTTGCCGTTATGGCGCCATTCTTCGTTGGAGAAAGTTAACTAAAAGCCTCCTCCTTCCAATCCGCCGCCGCCGCCCACTCCACACATCCCCCCCCCGCCGGTCTTTCCCTTCCTCCTCCTTCTCCTCACACCGAAGTCTGAGAGTGTGGGGAGGGCTGCAGTCTCGTTTAAAAAGAGAGGGGGGGGGGAATTAAAATGCCTGGATGTGTGTGAAAAGTTCCCTGGCTCTCTCGCTCTCGCCGGGCCCCCTAAAACTCTTTTGTCGAAGGGGGCCCGGGCAACATGTGGCCTTTCACCCCGCCCAAGAACCAATGCCAGACAGCCACACTCGGAGATTGTTTGTTAATAGTCCAATTAGATAATTGCCATCTTTCACTCCTTTCGCTCTACCTTTCCCATAAAGGCCTGAATAAGGAGAGCAGCATGAAGAGGGCTTCTGCCCTGCAAGGTGACGAGAGAGGCCGGAGCATGCTCTCCGCACAAAGCCGCCTGCTTGAATTGAATCATTGTGGCCTAATCAATGGTCTTATTGGATTACTAGCTGTTGCGGTTCTCAAAGATATTGTAGCAGAGACAATGAAATAGCCAAGGGGAAACTTTTTCTCTCCCCCCCCCCTTCAGTAGATCACGCCGTTGAGATCTCCCCGTCTCTCTCTCCCTCTC